AAAAAAAAAAAAAAAATTATACTGGTACTGGTATTGGAGCTCAGTGCTCATTGAGAGTCTAAATCTTCATCTCTGTTTTTCAGACAAATGTAGTAGGACATTCTTTAGGATGTACTTGGCATTCCTTGAGGAATTCTCCTGGTGAAAAGATCAACCTTCTGAAACGAAGCCTCCTTAGTATTCCAAATACAGATTATATCCAGCTGCTTAGTGAAATTGCTGAAGAGCAAGGTTTTAATATAACATATTTGGATATAGGTATGATGTTTTTTCCTTTGGATTATGATTCTTTCTAAACAGTTGTTTTGGACATAAAAATTTCTATTATAATTTATTTCATCAATCAGGTATTCTAACTATATATATTTAACAGGATAATAATACATGTAAAACATGTCCAACTTTTGTGAATAGTAATAATAGCTAACATCTATATAGTTAAAATGATAAAAAGCAACAGATAGGATTTATAGAGTTTTACTGTGTGCTAGGCAGTGTCCTAAGAAGATTACCTAGATCTACTTACTGAATCCTCAGACTAACTCTGTGAAGTAAGTTCTGTCATCCTTATTTATAAGGGAAGAAAGTCAAGCACAGAAAGCTTAAGGAATGGGCCCAAGTTCACAGTGCTAGTGAGTGGTAAAGCAAGATTAGGGGAAGGTCCTGGCAGATTGTAAAACTAGCCTTGATGGGCTGCTTGGTAAATGAAAAGACACCCAGTTTCTAGCACAAGTACCAAGTCTGTGAGGGCCAGACCTCTTCCCATACACTGATTCTGAGAGGTAATGAGAGACAAGTGAATTTATAGTTTGATCTCATTCCAGCCATCCTCATCTCTGTTTTTTCTACATGGGGAATTTGATATGCCTCTCCTAGCCTCAGTGAGATGTGGGGAGCCAGCCTGTCAGAGCTACTAGCACTGGGAAAGTAGAATATTTAGGGGCTGTAAGAACTTCTGATATTCTCTGCTATCATATTTCCCTGAAAATAAGACACTGTCTTACATTTTTTTTCTCAAGAAGACACACTAGGGCTTATTTTCAGGGGATGTCTTCAACAATCTACATTTATTCAAATACAGTTAAGTCATCTTCTTCTGGAACATCGTAATCAGCAGAATAGCTCTTTCTTTTTGCCCTCATCTTGTCTGGGGGTACAGATACTCAGGAAAAGCTGTGATAGGCCAGCAAAGCTGATGTGCAAGGGCTGAATTATTGACCGTATTTGGGACCCAGCGAGCATTGGGTCCAGTCCGCACAGTGGAGGTGGGATGATCTCTCTGGGCTCAGTAGTAGACTGCTTGCTGAAGCTTTTCCCCTATTCCCTGGTGTTTGGGGTTGCGGGGTGAGAGAGGCCCACAGACTGTTCTAGACTGGTGCTGGGTAAAATAGCAGCCACAGCTTTCCTTCTTCCCCCTGGGGACACACACTGTGGTAAAAAAGCGGAGTGTCCTGCTCCTCATTTCACTAAGGAGACTTTCACTGTGGAGACCTCCAGTCTCTATGTCTCTGTTTCCACCTGAAGCCTCAGCATGCCAAAATGCATGGCGTGGCTATGCAGTGTATCTACCCATCACTAGGTCTTATTATCAGAGTACGGCTTATATTTAACAAATGCATAGAAATCCTGCTAGGGCTTATTTTTGGGGTAGGTCTTATTTTGGGGGAAACATGGTACTTGAGATTGAAGGATGGGTCAAGTACAAGTGTCTTACTAAACCAAGAGCATGTAGAACCTAGGAAATTAGTTAGATAGTCAGAAAGGGTGGTCAGTGAGATACCATTCTTCCAATAAATATTTATTAGTGTCTGTAATTTGTTGTGAGTTTGAAATGCAGAAATGGGCTCGGCGCCTGTGGCTCAAGCAGCTAAGA